TGCCCTGTGAGCACTGCGAGCTGCCATGGCGTGGCACGCGGTCCTGCGGTCACCATCGGGAAGGGCAATGTCAGTTTTGTATATTTCTATTATTAGTAGTATTAGCTTTAATGTTATTTATACTGTTTTTCACTGTTATTGTTTTATTAAAGTTTGCTTTAACTTTCCAACCCATAAATCTCTCTCCTTTTTCTCCTCTCCTTCTGGGAAAGGAAGGGGTTAATAGCATCTGCCATCGGCGCTGGTACAGCCTTTAAATGGTGACATAAGTGTACTGTAGCGACAACTGACAAACTAATTACTTTTATTACCGTTTCTTCTTGACTAGCCATTATTCTAAAGTCTGATTTTGCTAATGCTAACATATGAAAGGGTCATTAAAATAAGCAGCGCTTCCTAAGGCGATGAACATGAGAGACAATAAAACAACACAGGCTTGAGTTATGCAGACATTCACTAATTTCTAGGAAATAAAAGCACATCACAATTGCCTGCATCTCCGTTTTCAAGCTTAGAGAAAGATGCAGTATATAGACAACCTGAAGTTGAAGACAGCAACCTTTCACAAATCAACCCATATGAAAATAAAGTTCATTTAACATCTGTGACAAATCCTCATAATGTTTAATTCATTAACTGTGAAGGAATTCCCTTCTTGTAAAAGGGATTTCTAGAGATTTGAGTACTCTACTCATGCATACAAAAACTTCTGAAGCACAAGAACAGCACTATTTTCTCCACCTCATCCCATTGAGATCACATACTTCAAACGTGTACAGAGTGCTCTTAAATTCAGTCTCTGTGGCACATTTTCTCTCTCACAAGATTAGACAGAGTTAGTTTCTGTGATAAAGAGCTCACTTTCGCACACACAAAGGAGCCCAAGTAACACCCTCCACAGCTGCTCCCAGGCCCATCAGAGGAGCCATCAGCCCATCCCAGGCCCACCTCCATGCGCCCAAAGGAGCACAGAGGCACAAGGGCAGCAGGGACCCTCAATTATGGACTCAGAAGAATGGACACCCTGTCCAGACCACCCCACAGCCCCAGGGCTGCCTCAGGTCACCCTCAGCCCCCGTGTACAGGCACGAAACCCTTCAAGATCAGTCAATAGGACCAAGGTGTTTCCTGCCCAGAGTGGGGGACACATTACGGGATGCAGGCATAGAACGTGTCAGGATTGCACAAGACTTATTGTGGGAACAAAGGCAGGGAAAGGTATGGGTGTCTGGCAGGAACAAACATAAGAAAAGAGAGAGATAAGAGGATAAACAGAGTTTGTCGCATGTGAACACACTGCTGGTTTGTGTGCTCCTCTGGCCTCGTCCTGCACCTGATCAGCACATGTCCCATTTCTTATTGAATGCCTTTTTAACTCTTTCCTGGGTGAGGGACTCTCTGTTCAGTGTGTGTACAGTGGTGTGAGTGCAGCAACTGGAGTCAGACCGGAGTGGAAGGGCTGCATGCGGGTGGTACAGCGACTGGTGCCAGCCAGTACGTACGTACACAAGCATGTTTTGCACTAGCAGACCCCCACCCTCAGAGGAGTGGGATGAGGCTACTCAGGTGGTGTTCATGCTTGTGCAAGTGCTTCGTGTGTCCGTATTAACCTGTGTACCTGGCTGCATACAGGTGTGCTCTGTGTGCATGGGAATGCATGTGCAGCCTCTCCCTTCCTGGGCTGTTAGGTTTGCTGCCCCCACCACCACCGTGAGAAACAGAGCACCTTTGTCCTCCAGGAGTATATATCATCAGCTCCTTTCATCCCTGCCAAAAAAGATTACTTGTGCACTCACAGACTTAAATTGTTAGGGTTGAAAATACCAAAGTAATTATCAGACTTTTTACACGTAACAAAATTACCAAAGAAGTAGCTATGTAACAAACAAAGCTCCTAGGAATCAAAACACACCGGAATATTGAAATATCTTCAAGATCAGTCCGGAGGCTTCCATTTCTCTCTGGTTGCTGCAGGAGACAAGGGTCAGTTCTGCCAGTCAGTCTTTGCCGAACAAGCTCTACCGTGAGCAGACAGCACTGGGCACAATATGTACCAAGAGTACCTCGCTAAGCTGATTGCTGAGGAACGTGCACTCCTTCTGCTCACAATACCAGTAAGCTCACATAAATCCTGCTGACTTCTGTATGGCAAACACTAAGCTTGCTCAAAAAAAAAAAGTTAACAAATTTTGTTCTTAGGCATTCCACATGCACAAACGATTTTATCACTGCCTTCTACCGTGCAGTACTGATTGTTTAAAAAGACTGATTTACAATGGGTGCAGTTAAAAAAAGGTATTTGACTTCTGTCATCTTTATAGAACACTTTTCAATTACATGATAATACTCTCTCTTCATTTTTCCACTGGTCAAAGTGTGCTTGATATATAAGGTGTGAAAACTCTATCCATACAACTCCAAGTCAAAGGAATAAACACCAGCATAGCACAAAAGCAGGTCTAACACCCCCTCCTGCCAAGGCTTACTAAAGATGAACAGAGAGGCAACATCTTGGTTTACTCCTAATATTGAGGGGAGGAAGGCAGATTAAAAATAACATTTTGAGTCTTTCGAGTAACACTTGTATTTCTAAGCCCATAATCACGTTGTGAAAAGGTTGTTTGCAAGCATTTAGTAACAGCAAAGAGGACTATACGTAACCAAGTACAATCAGAGGTCTGCTTCTACAACTATCAGAACACAATGCAAAGTTAGTAACTTAATTTACTACAATAGTGATATATTAATGTTCTAACATCCCCCCCTAAAGGGACACAACAAGCAACATTTTAAAAGTACATTTATATATTAGAACTGTTGCTACAGGCTGCCCAAGCTACGTACCATCCCATGAAAATTTGAGTGCAGTTTGTTTTCCTCACTTGCATAGCTACAAAAAAAATCTAGGAATAGAAAATGAACACTGGAATGTTACTCAGCAAAGCTAACGGAGAAAGCGCAGCTCCTTGACAGAGATAACTGCTTTTATGGACTCCCATGGAGAAACTGCAGGAAATAGTGCACCTGCCTCAGGACCAGCTGGAGGCAGACCAGCTAGCTGAGTCCCTGTTCAGCTGGCACATGGCTGAATTATCATGCCTGTCTCCACACCTACCTTGATGCAAGCAAACCTGTCTTCACCACTGTAACTTGTTTAGCTCTTCACCTTAAGCCAGCCTTGACCCTGGAGCTGTACCCTCTGAATTCAACTTTCTTCTGTTAAATGAAGAGGGATCCTTTACAAGACACTCCCATGAGCAGGGATGCCCTGTCAGCGATTTCCTCAAAAGAGCTGTAGCTGAAAACACTTCACCAGACATGGGCAATAAACCTGAGTCTTCAGAAACCAGACTCATTACATTTGCCTTGTTACCACTTCCCTGCACATGTATATCAATCCAGTGCTTCAAGGATGTACCTTTCATGTGGAGCATGACTGTAGGGCACATACGTAACACCTAGAGATCCATTTATTCTTGCTGATCTCAGCCTTACAAGGAACATGCTGGCAAACAGACACTCTAACTAGCAAAGAACTATTGACAGAGGTCCAGGAGTCCCAGCTCTGTCACTTAACTAAGGAGTGAAGAGATGGTGTTTAACAACCATGGTACCCAACAAACTTCAAGGGGAAAAAGTACGTTAACAGACATGTAAGTGCAACGTGGCTTAATAAAAGGTTGGTACAAACTTAAGTCTCCAACTTCCTTCTACTCTTCTGTTAGAAGTCCTGAATTATGAGAACTCCATTAATACAATCCATCCGCGTCATCATTATTAAATGAGTAATAATGCCTTAAAAAAGAGTACACAATCAACTGGTAATCATTAAGTATCCTAAAAGCACTAATCCTTAATTCTTAAGCAGGGGAAAAAAACCAAAAAAGGTATTTCAAGTTTGGCCTGCAGAATTCAGGTTCTTTGATTGCCATGTTGAGCTTTGTCTCCTAATTCCCACAAACTCTGGCTAAACAGTGGCTGCTGCAAAAATAGCTATCACTACAGCAATTATTTTGTTGATGGAAAATCATTATGAGAACATGCAAACAGCAAATTCTGCTGCTTTTCTATATCTACGCACCAAAGGGAAGATACAATAGGATGTAAAGACAGGTAGAGGGAGCAAAAATGTTACTGAACAGAAAGAACCCAGGAGTAAATCCTAGAAGTGTGTATTTAGTGTAAGAATACTGATAAGCACTTGTGTTCAGTTATCCATGCCTTATAATTCAGTGGGAAATCTCAACAAAAAACATGACTAGGTATGAACTGGTAATCCAGAACACATGGCTCTGACCATAACTGTACCAGAAATTTTCTGAGACCTCTGGCAGCTCAATGAGGTACAACTTCTCATGGGGTGTTCCCATATCTTAGTTCTTAAACTTCTTCAGAGTTTAGCCTCGTCGTGTTTCAATTTTCCCCACAACGCCTAAATGAGCATATTGCTACCTTTCTCCTCCTGCAATGGAAGGAACACAAAAAAGTGTGGGAGAAGTCTGTGGATATTAGGATGCCAAGCAATGCAAGGTCTATGCTCTTCTCCAAGATCAACTGCGAGCAATTTCAGAAGATGTGTCAGGTGTTACTTTCTCCTTAAAAATGTACAATTGCTAACACTGCTATAGCTATCACAAGAATAGCCTGGGTTATAACCAAGTCACCTACAACTCCAGAAGCCATCTTTTAGAAAGAACATACTTACAGGTCATATGAGAACTTCCTCTGAAGGTTAGTCTGGTTCTTCTGAAACCAGTAAACATCCAGCTGTAGCTTTCCATACTCTGTCTGTAACTCTTTCAAGTGTTCTGACCAAAACAGGATTAAAATATGTATTAAAATACAAACACACATATATATCTACATATATTACAGTAGAAGTATCAAACAACGGATTGATAGTAAGCATGCTAACAGCATCCATCTGTCACGTTCACTACATTTTGTATACAAATGCATAAATAATTGCTGAATTTGTTCATCAAAGATGCACAGGATTGGGTAAGAATAGCCTTTCAGCCTAATGTATTAACAAAAACTAACATAATATAGATTTTTGACCGCCTTTTCTTCATAAGGAATACTCTAACTTGTTTGCAAACCCTTGCTCTGCTAGGTTTCAGCCCAGGAAATCTTTAGGTCTATGAAATACTAATCAGAACATAGTATGAAATGGCATTCGTGTTTATTAGCATGTAAAGACAAGCTTACAATGCTTCCTTGAACAATATGCAATTTACAGTTATGCTCCTTAAAAACAGAGTTACCTATGATTTAGAGTTTTCTTCCTGATAGAAAGCTCTGTGTGAGGGCACCAGAAGGCGGCACCACAGTATACTTACCTGTTTATATAACTCAAGATCCATTCCCAGATTTCCTGAGGAATAAATTGCTAACAACAATTTTGAAGCATCAACATGAAGAGAAACGAACTAGACCAAGTTTTCTTATTTAATACAGGAGTTTGTGAATTCCCCTGGTGCTAAAATGCATGACCCAAACACCTCAGGAAGGAATGCAAGAATATGCTGCAAAAGGTAGAATGAAGAATAAATATACTAACAATACACACAGAAGCTAGTTTTACTCTGTATTATTTCATATTATAAGGGTCAGGAGTCCTACATCAAGCACTACATGGACAGTCTCCTACCATTAAGGCAGATTAGTCTGACGCTTCACTGAACTATGACTATGCAGATGCAGGACCTAAGTCACCACATCTCCTGCACTGTCCCCATGACTTGAAGAAGGGCAGCTTCTCAGAAGGCACCAGAAAAATTCAAGTCTTATACAACAATATGAGAGAGATGCAGAATGGTATTACGACATACCTCGTAGACTCTGGATCAATCGGTCATTTACTGTGATGTTACTCATCAGCACTGCCTGGAAGAAACAAAACAGAAAACCATGTTTTAATTGCAAAGGACCTGTGTTACCATCAATATTATAAAAAACACCAACCAAAGCACTTGTAACAAAATCTTTTCTTTGCAAAGTGCTGGGTTACAGAGAAACACAAAAACATTTAGCTGCTCTAGAGATTTACTATTACATACAAGAAACACTTGTTTTAACCCAGATTTCCCAGTAAATGGGGTCGGGGGGAAGATATCACTGCACTTAAGATAAAAAGAGGAAGAATTTAAAGAGTCTGCTACTAAAATTGCTTGCTGCTTTATTCTGGTTTAATCTCACAATTGCAGCCACAGTCAGATTTACTGTATTTATTCCTTGAAGGAAGAATACAGGATAGTACAGCTTGCTATCTACTACCCTCTCACCAGGGAATCAATACACCTGCATTCAGGCATGCAAACATGAGCTACGAAACCATTAGTCATAGAGCACAAAGGAACTCTAAAAAGCAATGTGAAGCCCTTGCCTTGTTTCACTTTTCTAAAGATCCTCTCCCTCACTTTGATAAGAAAGTGCTGGAGTGACCTTCTTTGATTCCCTCGCGTCACACTCTCTATCTCATTCTGAAGAGATAGTCAACATAGGAGCATCTTTTGTCTATTCTTTCATCAATCCTCCTCTACCAACCCATATATATAAATACCCCAAAACACCTGAATATTGAAAGAACTGAGGCAAGTCTAAATGAAATTAATTGCTGTGAGCCACAAGTCAGGATAACTCAGATTCATATTTAACATTTAGAAAATCTGGTACAGAAGAGTCTTCTTAAGACTACAAACAGACGAGGTCCACTGACCCTTCCGAAACAATCCAGTCCAGTCTTAGGAGTGTATTTCTTACGCTTCACTGCCAAGTTCCTCGTTGTCCTTCTCCCAGGAAGCCCCAGTGTTCTGCATGTGTCCCAGATCAGGATACACCAAGTCCCCACTCTCCTGAAGTTTCCGCTCAAGTACTGATGTATATGGATGTCCACATCACTTTATTGTAAAGAAATAACTGCATCCATTTTGTCTGCCCAACTCACCCTAAAACACTGGCAACGCTGTCAGTCCCTTTTTTCATTAAGACTACAGTGGTAAGTGCCGGTTGATTAGGAAAAGCGAAGCATTCAATCATTCTGAGCGGGACAGCACATAGCAGAGGGGTAGATTTGTCTTTTGTTGACCTTTTAAAGAATCCCAGTTCAAAGAGGCATCATTCATGTGTTGATGAAGTGGCAGCCATTTTCAACCCAATAAAAGATATATTCCTACACCATTCTATACATACAGCTCGTTCGTGAACACCACTGCGAAACCTCAAGAGCAAAGGCCTTGCTCCTTTGCTAAAAAGGAAAAAAATAATAACAATATGAATCACAACATATATCTAGGATTGTTCAATACCTCTCCCTCTCTTTTCCCATAGGACAGGTGAAAAAAAAGGCCCCGGATTTGTTTTCAGTGGTTTACTGGGGAAAGGAAATTAATGTTTTGATGATAATGCCAAATTTTGTTAATGTGTGAGCAATGTAATCAGGTTCTTCCATGATTATCATCTTTAGGGTTACCAGCATTAGCCATCACCAGAAACTGTGAATGGACTAGAAAAATCAGTATGACATGGCAATTTTATGTTCCTACAGTTTGCTGTGTTGTGGGGTTTTTTGTTGTGTTTTTTTTCCTCCTCAAAATCAAACTCCCAGATGCTAGGACCATTATTTGACAGTAAAACTGTCAAGTGTTAAATGTTTTGTACATTAGGACAATAATAACTGTTATTAGCTGAAGTGAATAAAAATATTTGCCTTCTGAATAAGGCTCCTTAAATCACAATGCGGGGAAGGGAGGGGAAACGTGCCTTGATCTTTCTGGATTGCATATAAAACTTCCTTTTGGCAATGCCACAGCTACCTCCCTGAATTTGTGAGTAAGAGTCCAGGAAACAAACCATGAAAATCTAGTTAGGTGTTTAACTTGAACCAGAAATACTATTTAATAATTTACAGAGCAGTGCTCCAACTGCCAGCTTCCAATCCAATTGTATCAATTATGTCAGGCTTTCTATTCCTCCTCCTGTCATCCAAGTGTTAACTAATCTTCATCTCATGGCTGTGAAGTAGGCAGACATTATTTTCTCTTGAGGTTTTATGCAGGTCAAGAAAGCAAACTGCTGGGAAGCACTCAGCAAACACATGCCAAAACTCAGTTCTAGGAAGAAACTCACATTCTAAATCTCATTCAGCCCACAAAACAATACCTACAATCCCTAGGAATAAGAATCCAGCCTTTGGAAACTCACTATATTACCATATCAAAATCTGACCTGTGACTAAGTAACTCTGTAACATAGAACCATCTCATTACATTTGCAAATACATCTTGCACAGAAGTCCTTGTGACTATCACAGAGGAAAAGTCAGACAGACTCTCTCTGATGGGAATCAATGCTGTGGACAGCAGGTCTTCAGAAACCAAAAATCAAAAGCCACACTGCTAACAGGAGCGATGGCAAAAATCTTGCTCCAGCTGGACAGTAAATTTTTCAATGACAACTGCCAGAGTTGTACTTCTTTGTTTTACTCATCACAGAACAAGTGTACGTAAGTCATACTCCATTTAAGAAACACAAGTTAAAGTTATTGTTTTAAATAACCAAAACATAATGCAGAAATACCTGTAAGGAAGATCTGAGATAAATTATTTCAAAGCGTATGTTCTGAGTACATTCTCTGAACGTACATTTCATCCAATTAATGCCTTATTCAGTAGTCTCCATAAACGTATTCCTTGGAGGCATTACTACAGTAACTCCTTCAGCATTTGCTACCGTCACAAATCAAGTGAATGTAAGCACACTGAACTGACACGTGCGCTTCCTAACACCGATTGTACACGATGTATATAAAAGCATAATGAGATATTGCAACAGGAAAAAGGAATAAAATGGCAAAGAACTTGATGAGAGTAAACACTGTTTTCACAACTAAACTCTAAGAAAAAATGGGCTTTGCACTCAGAAATATAGCGCTCACAAGGAGAAAAAGATGAGCCACAGCATCAGTAAGTCAGCTAAGAACTAAACCAGCTGGGAACAAAGCAAGCTGGGAGGGTAAGATTTACACATGTAGCAACCAGCAGAAACAAGCATTTATAATTAATCAGGGAGAAGAAGGGCACCTATTTGATGATCTTTGAGGTCTCTTCCAACCATAATGATTCTATGATTCTATTTCATGATTAACTCTAACTGATCTAAGTCTTCACCGCAAAGAAAAGGAGCAGTTCTGCCTTGCATGCTCCTGCTGCTCCCCACCACCACGCTGCAGTGCAGCACAAGCCATATTTTGATTATCTGTTGCTCATTTCTTAATTCCATCTGGATATTCCCACTTGTCTTCCCTATTTTTGCAAACACACCTCCCCCCACTCTTT